ATCATCCTTCCATATAGGCGGAGCCCAGGCAATAATGTTCAGGCCATATGTAGCCGTAGATAGGATGAATGTTTTGAACAGCACCAGTCGGTTCGGGGGGGGGGGTGTCGCCAGCGAAAGAGGCGATACCAAGGGACAATGCTGCAAACAGTGATTCCATATGTCACGCGAGGTTGATCCCTGGTATTCCGTGAGAAAGTGGGAACCCCGGATATTCGGAGCGTTTTGGCTTGGCATATGTAGGCACCATCTTCAGGGAGAGGTAAAGTGTGTTCCAGGGTGCGTCTGCGAGCGTCGGCGTGATTAGCTCACCATTTATACGGAGGGTTGGCGCCGCGTGTCGCAAGTCGATAGATCGTACTCGGAGTTTGATGACACCCTGATCTTTTTATACATGTGTCAGCAGCCCTAAGTTGTTACTCCGCTTGATAATCCTTTCAATAGGTTGTATGGCCTTATCCAACGTAGGGATCGATTGTTGAGTCTCAAATACAAAACAGTCTAGCGTAGCTTGAACCTCTGCCTTGGTTTCTTCATTTGGTATAGAATCAGATGAAAATTATGCCGTCACCTCATCAGTACGCGATGGCGATTACCGATGAATTCCAAGCCATTGTTTCAACATCAAACGCTACAACAACCTTTACGTGTGCGAAAAGTGCTTGTAGCTTGGCTGTGTCGCAGGTACCTAAAACAGGAAGAATGATAGCTGTGAAATCATCGACGAATCGGTTTGTATCGAGTTATGTCTGTTTCTTAGATCTTGGTTAGGCGAAATGTCGACTGTATGGCAGCAACTGCGTTTAGAACTTTGCGTAGCTTTAGATCTTGTAGTTTCCGAGAGGTTATGTGATCGTTTATGCTCACACCATGTGGGTAGGATAAATGATGAATACAGCGAAGCTTCACCGAGCCATCGCTACGGATCTTCTGAAGGATACCAAATGGGGACAGGTAATAGTAGGGCCAGGTCTTCACCTCGTCCAGGAGTATGGGACTCATGAGATATTATGAGCTAGCTCCTGATCGATATGACTGTCTGGAGTTGGGTGGCGTGTTCTGTAGCTGAGTGAGAGGTTTGTGTATTGCAGGTGGAAGCGTGCCTACATTTCCTTTGTTGGCACCTTCTGTGAGCATGCTGCGTATGATATCTAAGTTCTCTCTATCTGGAAATTTGAATTTATGTAATAAGTGGAAAATCCTCTGGTGACTTGGTAAAAAATTTAGTGGTGATAAAATTCTAACAAGACTAACAAGCGGATGTACGTGTGAGTTGACTGGGTGGATATCTTTGGCCACACCATCCATGGTGGGAGAGGTTCGTGGTGAAGTAACAGTGATGGAATTGATGATATTTCTCGTGGGAGGTTAACCGGTTTTGGGGCTGAGGTTTAACTCAGTTATGTTGAGTCGTTGGGAGCCGCATGAGTTGAGGGGCTCGTACAGTTTGATATGCTACACATGAGCATACTTGCAGTTGATGTGTGCAGAGTCACAACTGGATGAGACTTAGTCTCTGCAATGTTGCACACGAGGTTGACCCCCAGTGTTCAAGCGCTTGTGATTGATACAATTACAGTAGCGTGTTTCTAATAGACTTTTTAAACAAGTTACATTAGGGCGACGATTCTCTAATGATGTATGAAATGTTGCTAGTAGCTGAGGTAGGACCAATGCGTACTGTGCAAATTCGTTGTGTAAATCTATGGCGACCATAAGTGTCTCGTCAAAATGTACGACACTTTCAGGTGTGTGGGTGTTCAGCCAGTCCATCATAATCAGAGTTAGCTAGAAATCACTGCGTACATTTTAGGACCGGACATGAGGACCGGACCAGAGGACCGGTCCATATAGTGGAATAAAGGATATAGTTAGAGAGCAGGATGACACATCGGGTGTCATCAGAATTTAGTAACTAGGAGACCAAAACCATAGATACGGATAATTTCACAATGAGACTACAGGTCTCAGGCTGCATTGCACTTTAACACACAACTACCCGTTGTCAGAGAGAATGTCATCCCACATATGAACGTGATTAATAAATACAGCAGTCGCGCCGTTCATATCGACACTTCTGACTGAGCCCACTTATTCAGACGTAACACGCGACTACATTTTAAGTGACCGAACTACTGTATTTATTACACTACATTCTTTATAGACCAAACAAACCAAAGACAATTTAGTTGATTTTTAATTTTGCTTACGCTAATGATGAGACCTAGTGCTACACCGGTACCTGAGGTAGGTAAGCAAGCTTGTGACCTGCTATCGAAACAGCTGCTCGGAGTTCATCGTCGATTGTCTTTAAATCTGTACTAAGGTAGAGTCAGCATTTCTTTGGATCTGACACCTGAGAATGAAGAAAAGGCAGAAATTCACGTGACGCTGGCCCGTTTGGTTTCGGAGGCCCAACACTCGTTTTCTACGTTGGATATGGCCAAACAGCATCCGGGGTGGGTTTCTGATCGAGATGGACACTGGAGGATGCTGACGCATGTGTAGGAGGCCACGGATATTATTCATCTCATTCGTGGACAACTCCGCCAACGTCGTGGATTTTCAACGGCGAATAGTGACATGTCTGCGAATAGTGACAAGTCTACTGTCAAGAACACGGACCAGCCAGCGTCGGGTGATAATCATCTTGAGCAACAGGTAGCACCAACATCGCAACTACAATGGGTTCCTCAACAGGTATGGACGACACCAAATAGCCAGTTACTTCGCAGCGTGGCGGACGAGATAAACAAATCAGCCCAACGAACCGCAAAATTGGCCGCACGAAGCCGATACCCCAGAGAGCGGATATTGAAACACGCTTAAAATCAGAGCACAAGAAATTACGACACTTGAGGAAATGCCGACCGACTTATGTGATTCAAGCCGTACTCATGAATCGACAACTGTGTTTAAATTTATTTTGGTGAAATTTGGTTTGAAACCAGCGGATTTGCACTTTGCAATGGACACTCACCAGAACTTGTCGTCGTCGGCAAAGCGTTCCTTTGATGTATTTCGTAGAGTGATGAAATCTCCACGACAACAGCTTAATCAAGGTCAAGTAGCTGCGAATCTATTTCGTGACAAGCTACAACGCCATCGTCGTTCACGCTCACCAGAAGAGGTGAAGGATAATTGCCAGGATATTGCAAATGTACCTATTGGCACGATTGCATATCGGAAATACCTCCCTGTTCATCACGATCGTTACTTAGAGGACTCGCAGGATGTGAAACGATGTAAGCTATCGGTCAGAGCTTCCGTTGATTCGGGAACCAAGTTCAATGCGACTTGCAGTACCTTGTAGTATTCTAAATCTATTCTACGGCAGGCTTTGGTATGATGGGTTTGCTACTGTCACTAACGAACGCATGCAGAGCATCGTTAGATATTATAACCAACAAGGCCCTGGGATGAGATAAACGCGTTCTTGACGTATTTACATTCCTTTGCAATGGCCAGGGTTGTGATGGCTAAGCCGGTGTGGACTGGTACTATGTGGTTTCCACGGTATTGCGCTATGATGGGTAATGTACCGATAGTGGTGTCGCCGGAGCACGATACGTTCTTTGGTGAGAACGGTCGGCCGCTTGGGTCACACTCTTGGGGTTGTACATTGATTAGCTTGTTGCGTAGTGACTGCATTAAACCGATACAGTACATTACTTGCCGCGTCCGTTCTGGCGGCAGCTGAGATTTCAGTCCCGGCCGTATAGGATGCGCAGCCTTCTGGGGCCGGTGTATGGCGGTCGTTACCCGAACCAGGTCGAGGTGCCAGCTGCTAAGGAGGGAGCACGCACGGATGAGAATAGTGTGTATGCATCTTTTCGACAAGTGACGGATCTATTAGAGGAGGAAGAGAAAGGGGAGCTATGAGCGCACCATTGGCGATGTGAGAACCTGAGGTCAAAGTGCGGATGGGGGACTCGAACAGTAGTGAGACCAGTAGCTGCCCGCCTGTGAATATTGACCGTGAGCCAGCTTCAGAGGAAAATATCATGTCTCGTGTTCCAGTAGGTGACCGGTCGTTGTCCGTGCCAGCGTCTGAACAGATCACTTCGGACGGGAAGAGTGTAGTCGCAGACTACAGTGACGGTGATAACTCGGTGGCAGTGTTTTCCAGCACAGACGAGCAGTTTTGAAGGCCGACACAGGGCCAGTATATGGGGATGATATGTGGATAGACGATGGTGGTGGGGACTGTCGTTCCAACGATATCGAGGCCAATATGAGGTAAGTCTCAAGGCAATACATTTGTCGCGGCTGGGGGGGTGGATGGCAACAGAGAACTACGACAACCGATATACTGATCGGTAGTTCGATGTCATGGGATGAGGATGGGAATGAGAAGCAAACCGGACTGATGCGACCGGCGATGTCAATGAGAGATACAGTTCAGGAACACCAAGATTCTAGAGAGATGGATGAAGACCAGGTCGCCTTCGGCGACCTCATCCAGAGACTTCAGAACCATTGACTGATGCCCGCGAGTGGACGGAGGAGCAGAATACGAATTGTGTACCAAGAGTAGGAGTTCCGAGAGAGACAAGAAGGACAAAACGCCGAGGGGAAGTAAGGAATAAACGACGTTCACCTTTTGTTCATTCAGAAACTCGCTATGCAGTCCAAACGAGGCCGTACTCATTGCATATGGATGATGATGGAGCCGAGGGTGTCTGTAGGGTTTAAACGAACGTGTTGAGGCTTCCCATGTCAATGAGGGACATGATTCAGGAATATCAGTCGGCCTTGGAAGAGGCCCGTGCAAAACGAGAGATTTCTTGGCAACAGTACCTGAGTACTAGTTGGGTGGATGATGACGACTCCAGAACCATTGACGCATGTCCGTGAGTGGACGGAGAAACAGAATACAAACTCTGCAGCATGAACAAAAGTTCTGGGAGAAACAAGAGGGACAAACGCTAGGGGTACGCAAGAAAAAGACGTCGTTCCACCTCGTGCTCATTCAGAAACCGTTATGCAGCCCAACCGACGACACCTGGTAGGGGTTGAACGCGTCGAGACTCCCCGTCCATAGTGGGAACCACCCCGTTCGCTACAGGATGTGTTTGGACGCCTTGCAGTCCGTGGCCACGTGAAAGAGTGTGGTGAATGATAAACCGGTAACGGTGCTGCAGTTAGTCTGGTCGCTGCATGACACACATATGTGTGCATGACCCATACGTCTCAGACGTCTGTTCCAAGACAAGTTGAGATGGAACATCCCAAAAGATCTGCTAGCGGACATCATGGACACTTGTACAACGTGTATTGCCCGCAGAGGGTCCACGGTCGGACTAAGGTGCGGCCTTCTCTACCAGCCGCCGCGAGCACAAGCGTTTCGTGCTGCGTGGGACATGGACTACTATTATCATACTGTAGCTGCTACAGTGCTGGCCAATGCGCTGCTACCCAAGACCCACGGCAAAACGTCCCATACCCAATACCTGTTTTTTCAACACAGTCACAAGTAGTCCAGACTCTAGACTCCAGAATCCACAAAACCAGGCTGCCAGCAGGCCAGCAAATATCTAGCCTCAATTCATTAGAACATACCGGCAGATGTTGGTCAGCAATGTCTTTTCTTCATGTATGTATTGGCGAAAGGATAGGTCAATGATAAAAAAGCTACCGTCGGCGACAAGTTGACAACCCATGCAGATTGAAGGTGGTAAATTTAGGACTTACTGGCCGTCGTCAGCCGTCACAGTTATGCGATGGATATCTGTATCTAGGTGCGTATCTGCTATATCAGTAGCGCAATCGAAATCATAATTATTTGGAATAAAAAACGATTAATTGTGAAATGATTTTGACACGCGCATATATGGTGTGCCATTAGCAAGCTTCAGAACATAGAAGAATCTGAATTGTCACAAATATGGTGCTACATTTCGTATCTGGTAAGGTTGTGTTTAAATTGCTAGAGTTTTCTACTGGTACCGAGCTCGTTTCGTCAAGACTGTTTTTTTTATTACCACGGAAAGACACTGCTTTTTTTATTTAATACCACAGATGTTTGCACATGAGTTCTTGAGTGCTTCGTTTGCAAAATATATACTGACAAAATATAAACTTGTAGTCATTCGAGCAATAGCACCCGAGTTCATAGTTATCCGCAATTCAATCTGGAACCTTGCCACCAACCATACATATAAATAGTTTATCATTTGTTGGAAGCGCAGAGTAATTCTACGCGACCGGGAAAGAAAAATAAAACATGAGAATCCATCGTATAATGGCTTTCTTATCTTGACAGCACTGCATGAAAATGGCTTTGAAATTCGTTACGTACTGCACAGATCGGAGAGTTATATTTAATATAAACTTTATCGCTTGAGAATCTTGCAATTGGCACTGCCAATCATGGTTCACACTAACTACTCGGACCAGTTAAATATTCTATCGCATCTCATCTCTAGATTTTGTTGTGGCGGGTGATCGTGATTAGCTAACACAGCCCCACTCCATGCGCGCGAATCCGACTAACTGTCAATTTTCATTCTATTATGTTGCTCAGGTCGTCGTGTTCGAGTCAGTGGATTTATCTGATACAGCATAAACGGCTATATGTTCGTGAAGAATCCCCCATTTCTACACGTACACTTCGCCGTGACTGTACGTGCGCGGTGTTGGGTTCGGGGGGCCAGTCACCCTGCGGCGAATCTACAGGCCTTTATTAAACACGAACTTTTCCACCTTCTGGCCGTTAGAATCCTTTAGATTCTGGAATTGCTCTTCCATATCATCCGCATTCATAGATTCAATCTGTAACAAGTATATCAGAGGAGAGAGACACGAGTATGGTACACATGAAGTAGTGGTTATAAATAATAAAATTTTATGAATATCCACAGCATTTTGAATGGCACAACGTGCAAAATCTGAAATAGACGCAAGCACCTCCAGAGAGTTAGACAGTAGTGACATACCTGTGGGAACGCGGCGAGCGCTGGAACTACGCCCAGGAATAGGCACACGCCAATAACCCCCATTTCCACTGCCATTCGCACACGTGGGTTGGATACCAAAAATGTTTTCTTCTCCAGTCTGATCAGCAATATAGTGTGGTTTTTGAGCCTTATGTGGGATATGTATATAACTCTAGAGTGCGTATATACTGACTGATGGATATATACAGAAGAAAACCTGACCGAAAGACACTCCAATACAATATCTAGAAGCATGTCGGGGACAAGATAAAATTGTTACAACTCAGTTAGAAGCATCGCAGTCGCAGTACGACTGATCAGCCTGAAATGAGGAAATACTTTTGCAGACCAATAGTATCGATTTTGCACACTATAGGGTGGTTAACACCACCAACACTTCTGGAGAGACAGACTTGTAATGCTACTCACTTTGGTGCACCAGGCCATACAATAAACATTTACACTAAATAGCGCACACACTGATGCACTGCACCGGATAAATTGTCTGTGTGTATCGAAACTGATTGGATTTGAGTGAATATTATCTTGTGTGGTGTAAATGCGCCGGCAGCTCTTCTCCGATGACGTGCTGAGGCGCTCCCGCACAGCTATACTACGCTTCGTAAAATTATATTGGTACCTCATCCAAACACACAAACAAAATCGATCTATATAAGACACAAAGGAGACTACGGGAAAGCATAGGTAGCAATGTCCCAAAAAGCGACGTAAAGAGTGATTCTGCATCAAAAACACAACCAAAATCAAACACACAAATACACGTATGCGAACGAAAACATAAAACAACATGTCACCTTCTAAAATAATTTGAATCCTCACATTCGTACTGAATAAAATGCGTATATGCCACACCTGCTCATGATCAGCGCTGGGAACACGGTGATGGGAATGTTCCACAACACACGAGCTGCCGCACACTCTTTCAGACCTTTCTCCGCTGCTTTAATAGATTGTCCCCTAGCTTCCCCTATTAAAGTTTGTTTGGTTATATGGAAGATATAGATGTATAGCATTTTGCACGTGCATATCAAATGCCCAAAACAGGCCAGGTCACACCAGAAAGTGCGCACAGCACCAACCATGTTGTCAGCTCGGTAGTACTCTTCCCGCCAATACCAATTTTAAAATAGCACTGTAACAAGATATCAAACACTTCTTGGTAGAATGGAAGAATATCGCTGGCGGAGAGCTCACAAAATTCAAATGGATCAAACACATCAATACCCAATACCGGAGGGCGAAGGAGCCGTAGCTAGACCAGTGTATATTCGCACTGCAAGCAAGTGTCTTAGACTACTCAACACCCAGCCCTTGTGTCCAAAGGGAGCGCATATACCGTCAATAAAAGTTACCTTCATGATCGAACACCGTGACACCGGTTTCTAGTTCCGATCGTCGCATAAGTCCAATGTTTAGTACTCCCGACACGGCACACGCCAAGAACGGGAGTGTCGCACGAATGGCCAAGGCAGCACCCGGGCCTTGGGATAAGCGTGTGCAGAAAATGTGGTGGGTCAGATACGCTGATAAATTCTCGGATGCGCTAATAAATTCCTTCCCCAGACAAAACCCTCATATATCTGAATACATCTATACAAGTGAACGCGCATTGGTCACCATATCTGTATTTAAAATACAAAGGACGTGGGAGCCCGCCCATCGCCACAGCTGCACCCTCGACCCACGTTTCTGCTTTTTATAAACCGGGTAGTTATAAACCTATACGACTAGCATGTAACTATTCGTATTCACCGCAAGTGCATCTCAGAGCGTGCAACGCACAATGCTACATTTCGAACACCGGACTAATACAGAAAACACCTTTGGCAGACACAAGGTACAACACGAGATGCGTAAGGAATGGGAGGGAAATGCCCCGAGGGGGGGCCAAAACAACGATGAACTCCGTACAGACACAGATCACAGCCGCCCGACGAGCAAGCAATAGGGAAGATTCGTATACGTACCGAGCTTGGCAGCCTTAGTGGTCAGTGCCGTCGCAGCCAAACCAATTGATACCGATGCTCCCACTGCCCCTACGTAGCCCTGCACAATAACATCGTACTCCAGATGAGTACCCCGTCTTCGTTTGCGTTTAGTCGAGACAAGACCCTATTTCGGGCTCAGACTACACTTACAGTATGAACTCTCAAAATAGCTGCAATGCTGCGAGATCACTCTTAACACTAATCCGATTTATTTCTGGGATGATTTCGCACAAGTACAGCAATGGCACTCGAGACTTGTCTATCAGGGACAACCCAACACCAACGGAGTCTAGTGCCGTCTCTGCTCCTTGAAATCTATAAATTGTTTCAACAAAATTTTAATTGCAACGAATAGGGCGCACGCGGCTATTCAGTGTTCAAAGGTGAAAACATCGACACAGGGTCCGCATGGGAGAATACCTAGCGTGCACAATAATCATACAAATCGAGTGCCACCACCCAGCCCACAGAGCGCGCAATTGATGGATTGAAGTATACTATACTATTCACATATACGATACGGACAGTCATACACAAAATAAAAGTCATACACGAGAGCATACTATTCTCCAAACGGTCACTCATCCTCACCTGCGCGAGCAAACTGGCGGGCACGGGCTGTGACGCGTTTCGATTGCAATAGTTCACAGCAGCATTGTAACTCTGATTAGTCCTGTTGGCGGGGTTGGTCAATTGAGCATGAGTGAGGACAACGGCCTGCACTGCAGCTGTGCATGTAGCCCATACGGAGTGACGCAAAGTATAAGGGATGATAGTTTTGATATACCAAGATCACGACTGCCTTGATAGTACGCTGGTAGCTAATGGAGTCCGCTTGCTTGTATGTATACAGATTCAAACTCGTGTAATCAATTCTGAACAGATAAAAACAAACGGGCACAACGCACATATATATCGGCGTGAAGTGACAGAGAGCTACGCGGATATGATTGCACTCGGATGTATTATTTGCTTCACACATACATGCAATTTAAAGCAGGATTGATACCTGTTCGTATCAAACAAACGCTGCTGTCAACGAGTGGATACTGGGACACAGACACAAGGTAGAAGTAGCAAATGTCATGCATAACAAGGTGAACGAGCTGTGAGAGATTCACACAACGCGATAGGCCATGCGTATGCCACCGGCGATGATGACTACCCCCCCCCCCCCCGGTAAACCACTAGCGTACAGCGATTATAGCCATGCGTACTTATTCATCTACACCATGTGGTACACACGCACCACACATCCGCACTACCTATCCTTCCAATCACTTCCGGTTGAAGCATTACGGTCACCAAAAAACAAAACAAAACGGCTCCGTTAACAGAAACCAGCACACCCAATCTTGCACGCTGCTACGAGTGTCCCTAATCGAGTACGTTTCAAACATTACAATACTCACCAATGGGCCGCAATGGTGAGCACGGGCGAGGCAATTACCACCGGAGACAACATAGCAGCCACCACCACTATATTCGCGGGTACAAATGCCGAGAATCGGAAGAGATGCGGCACCGTCCCTTTGTGATCAGGGTGTATAGCGCTGTCTATCAGAGTCTTTGAGTCCCAGAGATCTCGGTCTAATACATAAAAAGGCAAACTGTCAAATCAGATTACTGTGCACGTTCTATGTTTATCATATGTGATTATCAGTTCTGACATACACCAGAAGCAAGTAAGACGAATACCAACAGTGTGAACGTCAATAGTGGTAACGACGTTTCGAACGAAAACAAATGGAGCAAGTGAAGTTATTAGTAAGACTGATGTACACGATATATATATATATATAATACACACACACACACACACACACACACACATATATATATATGCCATGAATAATCAAGGCAGAAAGAAAGGCTGAAATAAGATGAATACCAACAGTGTGAATACCAATAGTGCAGAATGGTATAAAAATGCGTTTCGAACGATTACAAATGGAGCAGGAGAGGTTAGTATAACTGATGTACACGATACATATATATACAGTTGTAATAGTATGCATATGAATATATATATTACAGATATAAATTAGAAAAAATATTACAGAGAGAGAGAGAGATATATATATATATTATGCACACACACACACACACACACACACACATATATATATATTTATAAATATAAATATAGATTAATAAATCAATGAATAAAAAAATCATATATATACATACATATTATGCAATGTGAGTGTGTGTGAGAGTGTATGTATACGTGTGAGTGCATATATATATATACACATGCACACACAGACACAGACACATACACACACATATACATAACGTCCACTGGACATACATACAAACCTACATACATATATACATACATACATACAAATATATATA